AGGAACCAGCCACAGCTTCTCTGGGCAACCTGTTCCAGTGTCTGACCACCCTCACAGTGAAGAACTTCAAGAGAGGTGTGAAAGTTTCTGCCCCTGACTTAAATCTGGATTTAGTCAAGTCAATTTTTATATTTCATTCCAGTATTAAGGGAAGCTCAAGGAGGGGCAGGTGTTGAACTTTCCTCCTCAGAAGGGTCCCTTCCAAAGGTAAAATTTGGCATCTGGTTTAACAGTTCAAAAATGAGCAATTTCTGTGACTATTCCTAACTCCTCTTTTAAGAAGACATGAGCTTAATTTTATATATATATATATATATATATTTTAAAATGTATTATCAACATCTTACTCCCCCCAGTTCATCATCGTGGCACTGCAGCATTGTTGGGATTTCCACCAGCAGTGACCTTCCAAAATCCTCTCCACTCTCTTTCTCAGTTCAGTGGCATCACAAGAAGGATTCAGGTATCACCATATTTAAAGGGGAGTTCATACTTACACTAAATCTCCTGTTTCAAGCTTAACTTCAGAGTCTCATAGGATGGAAGGGAAGAAATTAGAGTTTTATTTTAACTCGTTCTGAATCTCCTAAAGGGAATTATTTAAAAAACATCTTGATGTCTCACCAGTGCTTTTTATCTTCCAATTTTCTGAAATAAAGGGGGGGTTATTTTGAGTTTTGTTTTGGTTTTGGTTTTGGTTTAAATGCAGACTGATTTCTAATGTCAGAATCAATAGCTGTGGTTGCCTCTTTGGATCTGAGGAGTAACAAACTTCTTCAGGAGGTAGAATAAGCCTCCTGAATTGCAAAGTGACTTTATCAAACCAAATTAATAGTGACTAAACCAGCATAAAAACATCAGAAATAAATTCTGTCCTGCACTTTGTTTACTTTCAAATGCATTTGGAGACAAACACTGAATATGTTGTTCAACAGTTCCCACCTCTGCAATTTGTATTTCCTGATAAAAATAAATTTGTCTTTAAGATAAAAAGAATATGCTGACTCTGCATTTCTCTGCATCTCTGCTTTCCTACAGCAACTGTGCTAACGATGGTGGCCAAAGGAAATCACACCCCCAGTGTTGAATTTGTTCTCTTGGGGTTCTCAGAGCAGGAGGATGTCCAGGATGTCCTCTTCATAGTCTTCTTGGTGATCTACATGATCACTCTGCTGGGGAATTTGGGGATGCTGGTGTTGATCAGGATGGATTCCCAGCTCCACACTCCCATGTACTTCTTCCTGAGCAGCCTGTCCTTCCTGGACATCTGCTATTCCTCCTCAATCACTCCCAGGCTGCTCTCAGATCTCCTCACAAAAAGGAAGGTCATTTCTTACTCAGCTTGCCTCACACAATTATACTTCTATGCGGTCTTTGCCACCGCCGAGTGCTACCTCTTGGCTGTGATGGCCTATGACCGTTACGTGGCCATCTGCAGCCCACTGCTCTATGCTGTCTCCATGTCCAGCAGAGTTTGTGCACTTCTGGTGGCTGGCTCATACCTTGCTGGGATTGTGAATGCCACTATCCACACAGGGTTTGCCCTTCGGTTGTCCTTCTGTGGTCCCAACATCATCAACCACTTCTACTGTGAGGGACCCCCACTTTGCGCCATCTCTTGCACGGACCCCACCATCAATGAGATTGTGATGTTCATTGTGGTTGGCTTCAACCTGTTTGTCACCAACCTGACCATCCTCACCTCCTACACCTATATCCTGGTCACCATCTTCAGGATGCGCTCAGCCACGAGCAAACGCAAAGCCTTCTCCACATGCATGTCCCACCTGACTGCTGTGACCCTCTTCTATGGATCTGCAGCATCCATGTACTCACGACCCATCTCCAGGAACTCTCAGGACCTCGACAAAGTGGCCTCTGTGTTTTACACTGTAGTGACCCCCATGCTGAACCCCATCATCTACAGCCTGAGGAACAAGGAGGTGAAGAGTGTGCTGGGGAGAGTGATGAAGAGGAAACGTTCATCTGAAAAATAGTTTTCCCTGGTGTGTCAGAGGAATTGAGAGGTCTTCTCAGAAATGGTTATGCTTTCAGTTTCCATATTGCTATGGTATCAAAGAAGCTCTCCTGTGAGCTACTGGGGACAAATGTACTGGGGACAAACGTACTGGGAAACCTCTGCTTGTTCCTAAATAGTGGGTCATGAACTCCTCCTGGATTAGACCATTCACTGGTCATCTCAGGGATGTGTTAGCTACATTTATTTGTGTTTACAGCTTGATATTATTGTAATTTCAAGAATTTAAGCCCTTCTGACCATTTGGAGTTTGAGAATGCATTACCACTATTGTCTCGAGCGATGACAACAAATAACACCTCTTGCTTTCTGGGTGACAACGATGACCAGAGCTCTTCATACCAAATAATGGGCACATTTCTGGTGAACACAAGACTCGGGTAACTTCAGGCTGAAAGAGTTGGGGCTGTTCAGCCTGGAGAAGAGAAGGCTCCCGGGAGATCTTATAGCGGCCTTCCAGTACCTGAAGGGGCTCCAGGAAGGCTGGGGAGGGACTTTGGCCAAGGGCAGGGAGTGACAGAACAAGGGGTGATGGCTTGAAAGTGGCAGAGGGGAGATGGAGATGAGATGTGAGGAAGAAATTGTTTGGTGTGAGGGTGGTGAGCCAGTGTCCCAGGTTGGCCAGAGAAGCTGTGGCTGCTCCTCCCTGGAAGTGTTCTCGACCAGGTTGGATGAGGCTTTGAGCAACCTGGTCTAGTGGAAGGTGTCCCTGCTGATGGCAGGGGGGTTGGGACTGGATGAGCTTTAAGGTCCCTTCCCACCCAAACCATTCCATGATTCTATGATTCTATGATTCGTGCTCCCAGTAGTAGCAATAGACACTGGCCTTCGTAACAAGAATTCACCTCAACAAGGCTCGTCAGAGCTTTTCTGCAACTTATTTTTAGCTCAGCTGTAGCAGTATTTTCAAATTTATTGGAGAAACTTCTGCAGTGCCTGCAAGGTGCTCAAGGACCGGCGAGTTCTCATGGACAACTCCTACGAGTAACGGTCAAATTATTTACTAGGCAGGTTCCTGCTCCCTCACCTGGCATTTGGACCTTATTTTGGTTACATTATTATTAACTGCTTTTGCTCAGTTGGGTGATTTCCTCTCTGAAATAAATGATGAGATACAGGGGAACGACTAAGAACCTTTAGCAACTATAACGTAGCTAATCCCATTGACCAAGAGGAGAGAAAAGAGTGATGACCAGAAACAAATATGGGGTAGAAACATTTAGAATTGACCCCAAGCAGACCCAAGACTGACATGGAAAAAACTCCCACCACAACCAGTGCTCCCACCAAGCACAACACTAGATCTCCTCAGCAAGGAGCTCAGGGTGCTGCTGGGTCACTGCATCATCCCACCAAGGAAGAAGGATCTCAGTCTGCAGGTGGGAATTTAACCTTAGGGATGAGACACAGGTACTTTAATCAGATGAACTTTGAGGAGCATTGCTCTCCATCCATCCAGGCCCACACATTTGTCCTTAATACAGTCACAAGCCAACACACTGACCCTCCAACTCCTTGACTTTGGGCCCGGACTAGCTCTGGCAAGCAAGGCAACTCTAGAAGTGCACTTTGTCACTAACAAGGAAGAAAGTTTCTTTCTTGTTAGCTCCCACTAATTAGTCTCTCATGGCTTGTTAAGAAGAATGAGGTAAGTTGACTACAAGCCCTCTGAGAAGCTTTCATGGTGATTAGGAAACTTTTTTTGTTAAACCCCAGTAGTTCTTGTTAAGCTGATGACTTCTGGAAGGGTGGTTGGTCCCCAAGGGCCACTTCTTGCTCTGGGAAGTGGAACAGCATCACTTGTGATGGAAATAGCTATAACCACCTGTATGGGAAGAGCCTGGAGCTCAGGCCTGCTGGTGGGCTTTGTGTGTTGTACAAGTTTGGTCACACACTCCCACTAAAGGAAGAGACATCCTTGTCTTCATGACATGTGCATGTAACATGGTTCCCTTGGTTCTTGCTAATGGGTTGATTTGTCCCTGCCTGCTTTTGACCCCATGGCAGAGAGCACCAGGGAAGCTTGTTGCATTTCTCCTCACCTTTAGACCTCCTCAAGGACAACTCACACCTTGAATTTCTTGCCATTGGGATAGATTTGTTTGTGTCTTCTTTAATTTTTCAACTGCAGGGCAAGTTGAAGTGCTCTACATACATCCTCCATGTCTGACTGGTTTCCATAAATGTGATTTTCCAACCATTATGAATCTGGGCCTGGACAATAAACATGGGAATGGCTTCACCTGGTTCTCAACATCTACCAAAAAATAATTGTCTAATTATGAGATAGGCAGCCAGGTCCCCTCTAAAATATGTAGGAATAAGAAGATGTTTTTATCACATCCTAGGACAGATGGATGTGGTGCAACAGGAGCAGACCTGAACATCAAATGGACTGGTACCATGGACCTGCTGTCTTTCATTTCTCTGGATTAAATTTATTCTGCTCTGGGGGATCTGAACCTCTCCTGGAGGTCAAACTACATTTGGTGCCCCTATCAAACCCATTTTCAGTTTGTTTTCATCCAAAAGGAACCCAGCTCAACCCTGTGATGCGAATGAAACCAGAGTGAGGGCAGAAAGCTGGGAGATCTTCAAACTTCAACTCTGGAAACTCTTTGTCTGAACAAAAACTAGAGAATTAGAAACACACCTTTACTGGTCACAAATGGAAACGAGGAACTCTGACTTAATCACTCAGCTTTTATTTGTCTAAATTTAAAGGAGATGAATCTACATCAGATCACCCAATCCCTCCTCCCAACAGTCTTAATAATAATAATAAAAATAATAATAAAGAAAACTTTGTTGTTTGGTTTTGTTGTTTGGTTTTTTTTCCTTTCAGTTGGACTAAAACTTAATAAAGGAAAAAAAGGTACTTTAATAACGAGGAAAATAATATATTTTAATAACTAAAAAACTGCTTCACCATTTTTGGGTGTTTTCCTATGAACAATGCTGGAAACTTTTGCTTAAGTTGCAGGAAAGGAGCAAAATGGGGTGAAATTCCCCAGCCCTGGTCTGGATTTGGTTGCTCTCATGTAGAAATCTGGTGCCATTTGCTCTGTCCTGAGGTGTTAAGGATGTTGGTATGTACATGACACATATGATATATCTCTGGGGAGATCTTATAGTGACCTCCCAGTACCTGAAGGGGCTACAAGAAAGCTGGGGAAGGACTTTTCATAAGGGCAGTTAATGACAGAACAAGGGGAAATGGGTTTAAGCTGAAAGAGGGGAGGTTTAGATGAGATATCAGGAAGAAGTTCTTCACTGTGAGGGTGGTGAGACACTGGAACAGGTTGTCCAAGGAAGCTGTGGCTGCTCCTCCCTGGAAGTGTTCTCGGCCAGGCTGGATGAGGCTTTGAGCAACCTGGTCTAGTGGAAGGTGTCCCTGCTGCTGGCAGGGGGGTTGGAACTGGATGAGCTTTAAGGTCCCTTCCAACTCAAACCATTCTATGATTCTATATTTCCTCACCTCTCCCAACACCATCCATTGCATGTGGTTGGGAATATTTACCCCTTGCCTTGTTCTACGTTTCCTAGAGGACCCAGTCCCTGCAGTATGTTGTTCAGCTCTTCAGTATGTCCTTTGCATCCAACAAAATGTCACTGCACAGTTGTGCATCCCCCAGAGATCCCCTGAGTGACTCTCAGAAAGAGAATTTTCAGAGCTTTCATGGTTTTCCATGTTACATGGAGCCTGAGGTCCCTGTGCTCATTCTTGTCATCACTATCGCTGCAGGACAAAGACACGACCTCAAGAACATCCACATTATTCACATTTAGTTGATTAGGTCTTTTTACCAGTCTGAATCTGGGAGGAAACAAAAACTCTCCCCAGGACTCTTCCCATCCTTCACCTCCGTGTTCCTCAGGCTGTGGATCAGAGGGTTCAGTGTGGGGGTCACCAGGGTGTAGGCAATAGACACCACTTTTTCCTGGTCCAGGGAATGAGTTGAACTCTGCAGTCAATGGGGAGAAGTGGGAACTTTTAGGCAATATTCAGATAAGTTCTTTAGAATATTTTGGAGCAAGTTATTTAGTTTATTTTGGAGCAAGACATATTGCTTCCAAGAATACCTGGCAACAGGGTGGAGAGTGGTCAGATGAAGGAGTCTACACCTGTAGATGACAACATCCATCTAAATCAGGCTCAGACTCAACAGCTGGTATGCAAAATGAAAGCACTGAAGTAGCTATAAATGATCTGGAAAAGAAAAAAAAACCTTGACAGGCCCATAAATAACTTTTCATCTCTCAAAATAATGTTGTTTCCAGTTTCATTTTGATATTTCTCTCTGGGGTCCTGCAGGCTGGGATGGACAATGAGAAATCCCACACCAAGCCATGGTGATGAGCACCAGCCCGTGCACCACGTGCTAATGCCACTGAACGATTCATTCCACACCTTATCATTTATTTTATTCTCCCTTCCAGCAATTCAGTGCTCATCAAGTCAGTGTTGAAATTGGATGGATGTTGGTGGAATGGAATTAAACTTCAAGCAGAGTTTAGGAGCATATTTGGAGTGATAATTCAAATTTGATTCAGATAATTAGTCCAAATTAATCCAAACTTTGATTTGGATAATTAGTGCTGTTAACCCTGCAGACCAGCTGGTTTCCAGCTGTGAAAGATCTGCCCCAGTCAAGAGCAGAGTCCTCTTACACATCTGTCTAGGTGTCTTCTCTCATTCTCAGGACAAATTTTTGGGAGCTAGAGACCAGGGAAAGAAGCCACACAGACTCTCAATAGCTTTTATTTTATATATATATATATTTATTTTTTAAAATACTCACATAAAATTGTGAGGATTTGGGAAAAATCCACGTGTTTTAATGCATCATGGGCTTTCTCACTCCAGACAAACTGCTCACCTCCTAGCTAACCCAGCTTTTTTTGTGTTGACAGCAGTTTAACATCCTTCTCCTGCACTTCCCCAGAGCACCCTTCACCTCCTTGTTCCTCAGGCTGTAGATGAAGGGGTTGAGCATGGGGGTGACCACGGTGTAGAAGATGGAAACCACCTTATCCAGGCTGTTGTGGTTGGATGCTGGTTGTAGGTACATGAAAAATACTGTCCCGTAGAATAAGGAAACAACCATCAAGTGGGAGGTGCAGGTGTTGAAGGCTCTGGACCTGCTCTGTGCTGAGGGCATCCTCAGGACCCTGAAGAGGATAGAGCTGTAGGAGAGCAAAATGACCACGCTCGTGCCCACCACATTTATGATGACAAAGGCAAAGATGATCATCTCACTGCTGTGGGTGTCGGAGCAGACGAGCTTTAGCACAGGACTGATGTCACAGAAGAAGTGGTTGATCTGGTTGGGTCCACAGAAGGAACCTCCAAACATGCAGCTTGTGTAGATGATGGTGCTGAGAAAAGCAATGAGGTAGGATGATGCCACCAGCTGCCAGCAGACACCACTGGAGATGACCATCACGTAACGTAGGGGGTTGCAGATGGCAACGTGGCGGTCATAGGCCATCACAGCCAGGAGGTGACACTCAGCAGTGCCAAAGAAAGCAAAACTGAGGAACTGTGTCACACAACCAGTGAAAGAAATGGTTTTCTTCTCAGATAACAGGTCTACCAGCATTTTGGGGGAGATGGCTGTGGAATAGCAGACGTCAGCAAATGAAAAATGGGTGAGGAAGAAATACATGGGGGTGTGGAGGCTGGGAACCACCCAAACCAAGAGCATGATCCCAATGTTCCCCACCAAAGTGATGATGTAAATCAATAGAAACAACCCAAAAAGAGGGGTCTGCACACAGGGACTGTCTGTGATTCCCAAGAGGATGAATTCAGTCTGCGTGTGATTTCCTCCCATTATTAGATGTTACCTGCTGAGGCAAAAGGAAGAGAAACATCAGAATGATGAAAAATGGAGTTTCTCTTTCAGACCATATTTCACTCCAATCAGTCTCCAGTTTCACTGTCACATTTTGGTATATTCCTCTATATTTTCTAAAACCAAATTGTATGTGGTTTTTTGTTTTCCAGTTGAGGAACTGAGGAAAGAACATGGAGTGAGTTAAAGTAACACAAAAGGCAATTTTATTTTGCTATGCTTGCACGCTTAAAGCTCTGGATTTATTCCAGCACGTGTGTTTTCAGATTGAAGAGAAGAACCAGCTCTTTAGTCACTTGAATTCGGAAAGAAATTCACTTCAGAAGACACCTCAGAGGAACCTCCTACGAGTGCCCGTAAACCTGGAGCAAGAGGACATCACAGTCCCAGTTAAATCACAGATTCCACAACATCAATGACCTCCAGACATTTTTCCCTTGGCTTTTAATTATTATTCCAGTCTTCAAATCACATTTATCAAACTGTTCTATGTCATTTCACACTGGATAAAATTCACGTGGGTGAATTAATGATTTATACCTTTATGAGTTCCAGCACGCTGAAACATCTGAAAACCACGGGCATGAAGATGTTGCCTTGAAAATGGAGTTAATTTTCAAACATGCTAATTCCAAAACCTGGTTTGTTAATGACTATATTCTGCTGGCAATTTGAAATATCACATTTCTTTATAACAAATTAAGACTCTTCCTTATTTAACTTGCAGAAATCAGTTTATCTTGCTTTAGCTGCCGAAGTGGAAGGAAAATGATTTGCATAAGCCATTGCTCCTGTTTATTATTAAAAAAACCTACTTGGTAAAGCTGTTTTCTGACAGAACCCCCCCCAAAAAAGAGGTGAGGAGGTGAAGAAGAAAACCCACTGCTCTCCTTTGTCTCAGCATCACGGTTTCTCCTGCATCTTCGTTGCTATGGAGTGATGGGAGCCAAGGGTTTGTCCCAAAGGCAGCAGAGAACATCTACGTGTCCATATAACCTCTATGAACCACCTGATGTGAAGAGAGATGTGCTCCTGCCCAGACTCCAGCAGCTGAGCTTGTGGGTGATGGGGTTGTAAATATGGTTCCTTGTGTTCTCCTGGGAGAGAGGCCCCAGGGCTCCTCATGGCAGTGTTTACCAGAGGGAAAATAAAAGAGAAAATTAAAAAAAAGGGGGTGAAATGCAATTCTGAAAGCTGTGGGGTGGCTTCAGGTGTCTGAAAGACATCATGTGGGTGACCCATCGTTGAGCACTGACACACAGGGGGGGTGCTGAGCAGCTCGTACGATGTTTCTGAGATACTTGTGGACCGTGCAAAGGTCCTGAGTGACACAATGAAAAGTCCTGACCTTGCTGACAGAATGAAAATGGGTTTAGAGACATTTCAGGTCTTTCAGTGGATCCCCAAATGGTTCATAAAACACAACTGACTCCATCTCTGGAGCTGTTGATGTCCTTCTGTGGACACTAGACAGCCCAGATTTCCAGCATGGAGGTGGGATTGTCCACATTGAGGTACCTATGGCATGGATGTCCACACCTGAACTGGTGACTCTGGGCTTCCACTATATTCAATGGGGAGAAATGGCATTTTCAGGCAGTGATTAATCTCCCCAGGTTGACCTAATAGGCTTTAACAGCCCTGACCAGCCTCACCTGGGGCCTCCATCCCCACCCTCTGCCCATTTGCCCATGAGCTCTATTTAAGCTCAGCCCAGGGAGCTTGGCCCTCTCTTGGGCTGTGCTAGAGGAGTGCTGGTTTCCAGTTTAGCAAGGGGTGTGCACACCTATGGACTCCTTTGATCTACAGCTTTGCTTGATCATGGACCTCACCCTGATCAGGGGATTGTCTTGGCTGGAACTTGGACCTGCCTCATCACCATCAACTTGCCCAATGGTGTGGAGTCTTGGCTACCTGGAGCAAGGTGAGTCCAAACCCATCTCATGTGTCCATCTCTCAGCAAAACCAATGGAGAGCTTGTCTGTTTGTGTGACCATGCATGGGTCTCCTTTGGACATGGTAAATCCTTCTCCAGGCTACACTGAGTCTACTGATCATCTCATTCCACCTGAGATGTTCTAGGACATATGGACACAGCTCTGGTAGATGTGGCACAAGATGTAGGGAGACTTATGCCCTTTAGGGGAGCAGGAGAACACTCTGGTGGGTCTCAGATAGTCCTGGACTCCAATATCTGAACAGTTGAACCACCACCTTCATTTCTACTGACTGCAAAGAGAGCCTAGGCAGTTGTGGTTGACAACTGATAGGTGAATAAATCCCATCTATGAATCAAATATGATCCAAATACAAATTGCTGTTTATATGGTGACTCTATCCATGCTGCCAGGTTAATCTCAAACCTTGGACTTCCCTTATTTAAAAGGGAAACTCAGCTCTCCTGAAAGGAACAGTGTGAATTGTAAACTCCTGAAGATGTTCCAGACACTGAAAGAAGTTGGTATCTATTGAGGGTGTTGAGCAGAGATGAGTTACACTGAAATGACCATGAATATGATGTCAATTTTCTGCTAGCCAAAAAAGAAAGTTTGCAGGGAAAAAAAACTGGATTAGCACCGTGTCTCTTCAAAACAGGCTGTGATGAGATGGTCTTGGTCTTGCAAGGGAGGTGGAGCAGCAGAATAACCTGGCTGTCTGCAACAAGGGGGGGGGGAAATGGGCAGCTCAGATATTCCTGGAAATATCTGGAGCAGAGTAAAAAGGTTTAATGGATTGTCTATCAATCTTCTTCTGACAGGTGGGTCCTGCATAGACCTCCCTCTTCTTAACCATCAGTAGCCTGGAAGTCTTTCAGGCTCATTCATTGCCTGGAGGCTTGGGTCAGCCTTTATCTCCTGTAATCCCAGCCATCAGCTCCAGGCATCCATCCAGAGCTCATTACAACAGCCTTTGGACATGGTAAATCCTTCTCCAGGCTACACTGAGTCTATTGATCATCTAATTCCACCTGAGATATTGCAAGAAGTGTTTAAGATACTTGGAGTAAATTGCTCTTTGGATGCACCTTCTCACCTGCCCCTTGGTTTTCAGAAGGGCTTGTGATGTGTAACTTGTGCTCATCAGGACCTTCACCTTTTCCATCCCTGGAGGCTGCCAAGTCTGGTAGCAGGTTATTGATATTTGTGACAATAATTAGAACAGGGTTTGCATCCTCCTGCATCCACAGCTAAGCCTTTATTAGCAGCTCAAACTGGTGTGACCCTCATGGATTCTCATTAAGGAGCCAGCAGTAGGCAATCAAGATTCACTTGTCTGAGAGACCTGAACTGTAGCCAAAGCCTTGACAAACACTTGCCCCCTGAGGGGAGGTGCCCATGGCCCATGAAGACCTGTAGAGAGACATATAAAAGCAACGTGTTGCTGCAAGTGAAGAACTTCAGCTGCTGAAAATATGCAGGAGGCTTTCAAATGCTCAAGAGAGACCTCCTTGTTTATCTGGAGGCTAGGGGGGTGGCTTCAAGGGTTCCTCCCCCAGGTGTACTCTGCAGACATCCTGATCCTGTAGTGTCACCCAAAAGAAGAGATCTTGCAACTGGTAAGAGGATGTGAACCCCATCCACAGGTAGGTGTGAGCATTCCCTGAAAGGTCCAGGTGAGTTCTGCTGGGACTACCCTGCTCTGATATAAAGCACTGACCTTTGGGGAGGTTCCTCTGTGTTGATTAAAGAGGATGAAATATTTCTGCTGGGATGCAGTTGGGATGTGCTCCAGTATTTTGAATTCAAAAGATGAGAAATCATAATGCTTATGTTGAAGGAGCCTAGGAGAAGAAGAGAGAAGAACACACTCAAGGAAAGATTAACCCATCTACTGAGCCTGAAATAGTGATATTCACTTTAAAGAAAAAACAAATATTTATATGAAGAAATATCCAGCTGCTGGAGAAAGGTTCTGCAATCAGTCTTCTGATCCTGGCACTCCTCTGGTGGGGTAGGTCTTTGATTCACATCTTTAATCCTGTAAATAATTAATAATTTTATTGTGAATCTTCATGTTCTCAGGGACAGAAACGTGTATTTCACATTTTCATCAGGGCGAGCAGCTTAACTGGGGACCTGAACTCAGGCGAGGGGAGATGAGAGCGTTTGGCTCAGTACAGCTCTGTGGTCTCATCTGTGGTGTTGAGCCCTCCTCCAGCTGAAGGGAGAGGGGGAACTGCTGGAGTTTTGCCTGCTGAAAATGGGGTGAGAGAAGTCCTGCTGGGTGTCCTGACCATCAGGATGCCACGCTGTGACACCATCAGGCTCTCTCTGAGAAGGTTTTCCTCCTCAGGTGGCATCTTAGAGCAGTGATTTCCCAATCTGTCTCTTTTTTCCCATGGGCCATTTCATAGTATCCCAGACTGGTCTGGGTGGGAAGGGACCTTAAAGCTCATCCAGTCCCAACCCCCCTGCCAGCAGCAGGGCCACCTT